AAAAATGCTGCTTCAAGTCCAACACCTATTGTGTTTTATTAGGAGATGCACAACAGTTCTTCTGTTGCTTTATAGGCAATATTTTCATGTACACAATTTAACAAAATCAGAAAATATTGTGTCTAATATATACCACAATATTAACTTCTTATTATTGAATTGTTGTAAATAAATATCACATTTGCAGCTGGTCAGTGTTCAAAAAATGCTGGGAAATCATTTCATGTAGCCCCACAAGAGTTTATTACTGATAAACTGTCTGAAAAAAAGAAAGTCAAGTTTTAGAGAAGAAAAAAAATCACCCACTGACTTTCAAAGCTGCTACATAGTAACGACTTTCTACTTCGAGGACCTTTATAGAAATGTAGTGGAGTGAAAAGTACAATATTTGTCTTTCAAATGTAGTGAAGTTAAAGTCATAAGTTCCCAGAAAAAATAATACTCAAGTAAAGTACCGATACTGAAAAAGTGTACTTAAGCACAATACTCAAGTAAATGTACTTAGTTACTGTCCGCCTCTGAGTATTGATAGCCTTCTGCTACCACTGTATTCACAGGGATAAAATTATGGCTTTCTGGCCCCACTGTGAGGACAGGCAGAACGACTAAAGTCTGAATCAAGGCTGTCACAAGCGCTGTCAGGTACACAAGGTCGTTAGACAGAAGAAAAGAGTTGAATCAAGTTAACTGAAGTCTAAGTAACTGGGCCTGAACCTCACATGGGGTTTCTCTGTTTATGTAAGCAGTTCCCAGTGTCTGGATGTGAAGATTGATATCTTTTTGGTGCATTTTATGAGGAATGCTTCTGGCTACATGCATTAGCAGTGTGAGTGCTGTTTTGCCCTGTTGAAAGTGTGAGAGTTGATTTGATTATTGGGTGCATTTATGCAATGTTGCTGCTACATTCTAGAATAAAAGACAGATGTAGAGGTCAGCAGTGCAGTCTGAAGTGCATATTGGCATCAAATTTAATGAGTAGCCTATGTAGGTTGTGATTGTAGGTTGTGTGGAGGTGTGCGATTTCTTAACTTTAGTTCTAAGATGAAATGTTTTTTTTTTTTTTTATGGCAGTAGTTATTGGTTGGCATATTTCAGTGCTTTAAAATATGGGCTTTGTGTACAGAGATTAATGTGCAATTCCGGGGGCATAGAAATTAGGACAACACATAGAGAAAGGCACAGAGAGATATTGGTGGCCATTAAAACCTCAACAGATGGACCTCAGTCAGGGTAGATAACATATTTCATTATACGTGAATTAAAACGACGCTGTGATCTGTGTTTATGTCACAAGGTTCTAGGTTATATTGTGTTTTCTGGACTTTTTTTGTATACTGGAAAATTTTTGGAAAGTCATATTTGCAATGTTTTGTCGGCACCAGGTATACAGTACCTCATGTTGAACAGACTGTATGTCTATTCCTTACAGTCTCTCAAACATATATTATTTAAGCAGTCTTTTTGTGTATTTAAGACTTTTTTTCAGTTATTTTATATATTGCGGATTTAAAGCAGATGTATATACAGGATCTATAATAAATTTACTTCTAAATCAGTGGTTCTCAATTCCAGTCCTTGCGACCCCTTGTTCTGCACATTTTGTATGTATCTCTCATCAATTCAGACATTTGTTCTATTTGACTGTAAGTTAGGGTGACCATACGTGCCATTTTTCTGATACACGTCCTGGCCAGGATTTCTATATTGCCTAAAATATGCAGGTTTTGCCTTTGTTTGTGCTGTGCAGACTGATCTTTGTATGACCTCAAAGTACCGTGAGAGCTATAGAGAGCAGTCGGCTCCTTGTGCTTTTGAATCGCTCTTGCGGTACTTTGATGTCAAACACCGATCGGTCTGCACAGCGCTGCTTCAAGTCGAACACACCTAATATGTACGTGTATTTGCATCGCTTTGACCCTTCTATGTAGATCCCACCTTCTCATCAATATATATTAGGGCTGTCAATAGATTAACATTTTTAATCAGATTAATCACACCCTTTTTCTGTGATTAATTGCGATTAATCGCACACTTCATGAAATTAAGCATAGACCA